GATTTGGTTGAGAAGATATGCTTATCAAACTATGCTATTGAAGATAAATTTATATGGCAACATTTAAAAAATGTGAATTATACAAAAAGTCATCGTAGTTGGGAAGACTTTCCATGATTATGTTGATCCGGTGGCGGAGGGTTATCTTGATGTGGTCTTCGTTGTCATGCTCTGGATGTGCCTCCTTCTCTTCCTTCTTTTTCTTGGGTGATCTGCTTCGGCGCTGTCCTCCCAAGCTGTTTCGGCTGCTCTCCTTGCCACGATCACGTCGGTCGCTGTTTGAGGTGCTTCGGCGCCCATCTTTATTTGAGCTTCGTGAGTAGGAATTTTTTCTCTGAGATCTATTGCCGCTGATCTCTATTCTCCCTTCATTATATTTTTTATAGAGCGAGTTATGGAGATGCCGATATGCCGAAGTGGCATGTCCTGTGCGCCCATGGAAGGAGCAGAAAAGATCGTGATTATCATCACCTTCAGTTTAGGCAGTGGAATGACCGCCTTGATTCCACTGGTTCCAGGGCTTCTCTCCAGTTTTCATGATGGCATGCAAAGATGGCTTGCCCTTGTTTGCAAGATTCGATGGATCCTTGCTATGCGAAGTGCTTGCTTCTTCGGCACCGTGATATTTGGCATAAAAATAATTTCTTCTTCCATTCAGATGAAGGTTTGAGCCCGGTGAAGTGCATCTTCTATGATTTCCTTCAGGTTTTTCAACAGATTCTCTTTGAATGATGATTCAAACCATATGCCATTAATGAGTTATTCCAGTGCTAGAGTTTTAGTTTGCGGTATCTGGCCGTATACCGCAGCAGCGTCTTTGAATTCCTCTATGTAGTCACAGAGGGGTTAGTCGCAGTCTTGGGTTAAGGTGAAGAGGTTCAATGTCCTCTCGTGGTAAACATTGAGTAATGTTTAATGAAGGCGTGGGATAACTCCTTTAAGGTATTAATCGATGCCGGTGGGAGGTTGGAAAATCACTTGAGAACGTCTTTGCTGAGGTGTTCCACGAAGGTCTGGCAGTGGTTTGCTTCGCGCTCTAGGTCGATTTTGAGCCGTTGTCTTTTCATGGCTACATTGAATCCAGTAAGCCATAAATTTGGATCATATGTCCTGTTGTAGTATGGTAGCTTGAATTTGATTGCTGCGCTAAGGCGCACGTCGTTGATCCGTGGAGCGAACAGATTGCGCTCAGTGTCTGACAAAATCATCGAGATCTCGGGTGCCAAACTGGTGGCTTGGTGGACTTGAGATCCGATCACGTTGATTCACTGATGAAGCTTTGCAATCTCGGAGTTAAGCTCGTCAGCTGGTTGTTCGGGAGTAGGAGTCGTGTTCTGAACATGGTCTCGTTCAGGTGTCTCGAATAGCCGTTGCCCTAGGGGTGCTGATCGTGCGGTTGTTGCGGCGGCGAGGTTGCTGAGCTGTTTGTCGTATTTTGTTTGTTGGGCCTGGAGGATGTCCAGCTTGGACACCAGGTTCTGAGCGAGCAGCTGTAGAGCAGCCTGGATTGCTGCGGCGAGGTCGGCAGCCAGGATGGTGGCTGGTGATGCTCCCGTGGGTGCTAGAATCGCGGTGGTAGTGATGACAGGGTTGTCGTGCTTATCAAGAGTAGGCTTTTCGTTGCGCGTGGTGTTATCCTGCTCGTTGAGAGTGAGGTCGCTGTTGTCGGATGGAAGACTCATCGCTCCGGGTCTTGTCTTGCTAGTTTTTAGAATTTATTCCCCTAATCCCCACAGACGGCACCAATTGTTGAATCATAAAATCACCAAAAGGTCTAAGTGATTAACAGTTGTAGGTTTCGGAGAACAAGGTCTTATTAACTAGTTCAAAGATAAAACGATTACAAAGGTTGGTATAACCGAGAGGTTATGCCGAAGTGAAAGAAAAAATGTTTAACCGATAAAACTAGAAAGCTTCAAGTTCTTAGGTATTGTTATATGTATGAGTTGCCTTGAAACTATCTTTAGTCTTCTTATTTATAGGAAAAAGAGGTCGGTTGCTGCGAGCTCATTTTTTTTTTCTTCTTGCGTGAATATTTTCATATTTGCGATATAGAAACATTCATTATTCTCCGAGAGATATGAAAATTTTCCTTTATCCTTGAATATTTTCCTAAATCGATCTGATTCGATAATGATCAATTAGCATCTTCAAGCGGTTTTTCTTATTGAATCATGCCTCTTGATTTTGATAGATTTATGTTATTGCTACAGAAAGTCAACATGTGCTCATTTTCTAATATGTTTATGTGAATATATATTCTCTCATAAAAATTTCTCTTTTCTCCATTGGTAAGATTAACGAGTTTCGAATATTTCTCTTATTTTTGTTGAAATAATTTTAGTATTGTGATCATCATTATAGAGTAACGGCTAATAAGAACTGCAAATACTCTAACATTTCAGTTATCTTTTGTACCTCCAACATTCTAGAATGTGAACGATATAATTATACATAAAGATTAAGAGTGATTATTATTCACTAAGCTATCCAAAGTTGGTATCTCAATCTGTTGAATCCAAAGTCAGCTTTACAGAGAAGACTGAGTACGACTAATATACTAATTTATATGATGTGATCCAACAAGATTTTGATTTGTAAAACTCAAAACTTTTTGTCTACTTAAAAATGACAAAAAGAAAAAAGAAGCCCGTTCCATACCGAATGCAATAAACGTCCACAATGTTGATTATAATTCACAGCATTAGTTATTGTGGGAGTTTGATGTACTTTGCACGATATGATAAGATCGAAGAAAAAGGTATCTGTCATGTTAATCCTTTTTTTTTTCCTTTTCCTTTTTGGTGTCAAAAATCTAGAGTTCTAGACACACCATATGAGATTTAAGAAAAAAAGATGGGAAGAAATAATCAAATGAAAAAAAAAATATCACACATCTAGAATTTTGGTTCTTATAATCTTCACTTGTACAATTAGATGAAAATGTACAACAAGTCACACAAACTGGTCCTAATTAACTATTTGTTCCAGTTTATATTGACTATTTGTTCATAGAATTTACTTCGAGTATAAACGAGTATGTTGAACTGAATCATGTCTAGATCGATGCGGGAATGGAACAAGGTGTTGAAGCTGTGAAGACACTTGTTGAAGAAGGGATTCAGTGACAGTATATCTCGATTCAATTTGGGACAGAAATAACACCACCATTATCATAGTCCAACATTGTCATTATCCTTAGGTTTATATTGTAAGCTGATGATCAATTTTAAATGTTAATTTTTCGTCTGTTATTTGACAAATTTGCTGTTTTGCCTCTAGTTGGAGTTATTTATGGCAGTTTAATTGACTCTGAAATTATTTTATGGTTAAAAATGAAGCAATATGATATTTGGCTAAATCTATACTATATAAAAGTTGAAGCTTTATGCTATTGAAAGCGTCCACATATGATGAAAAAACTTAAAGTTTAATATCTGTATATAAACTCATTGTTGTTCACCAACTTTAAAAATATTATAATAATTGCTTTAATTAAATTTGATATATAATTGAACTCAACAATTATAAGTTTTCTTTTTATTTAATTTAAAAACAATTTTTTATTTTTCATTTTAAATAAAAATAAAATAACTTATCAAATATATCAGTACAACTAAAGCACCTGATTATTATGTTTGTATAGTGTTTTTATTTCATTAGCAGTCTCAAATACAAAACAAAAATCAATATTCTAAACTCTTATAAATCCGTAAAAGAACTATTGTTCATATAAATAAATAAAACATTTACATAGTATACAAAATCACTATCATATTGATAAACTGCAATTTTGATTTGGTCTTTGAAGTATCTGTAAACTATAGAAGTGTAGATGAATATAGCAAGTAAAACATATACAAATACAATTTCATACTAACTCATTCTTTTAAACAAAGTATGTTGAGTTTTTAAAAACTTAAAAGGTTTATTTGCATTTGACTTGTAATTTAATTTAGATATTTTTCTTACACTACACATATATTTTGATGAGCTTTATAATTAAATTAATAATATATATTATATTATTTTAAAAGAGTTTCTTAACCAAAAAAAAAATCATATTAGTTATCCTTCCATGTTGAGTTAGTAAGAAATTTCTTTTTTGTTGATGTGGATGGTCAGAGAAGTTTTTCTGACATTTTCTTTTACATAAAAATTTGTATGTTATATTTTAAATATAGAAATATAATATTTTAATGTTTAAAATGAAGTTATGGTAATCTATTTTCTGTAAATGTATTGTATATATTTTTTTAATAAGTATATATTCATAAAGTTTTATAAATTTATCGTTGTAGAGACAATAGACAATTTTGTATCCACGTATGTGAAATACAGTTGTGTTAATTTCAAAATTTTATTCATTTTTTGTTATGTATATAATCTTTATGTTTCTAAAAGATGAACGTTTTAAATTTTTCTAAATTGTGAATGTTTAAATTTGTTTTTTAGAAATTACTATTTTATAACGTTCTATCTATTAACTATTATTTAAATTTATTTGGAGCAATTTCTTTTCTAAAATACTCATTATATTAGAAAGAAAAGACTATATATTAATGCTATAGATTTAAAAATATTTATTTTACTGATTCAAAAATGATATTTTATTATTTAGTTTTTGTTAATAACTATATTAGTTTTAGAAATAAAATAAATGGTATTTTTTTAATTAATTTTTGTCCATGGATCATTTTTATATTTTTAACGTCTCTAATTCAAAACCGAAAAATTTTCAAAAGTTCTTTTAGTATTGATCGAAAAAGGTAGTTCTATTTATTTATTCTATGTATATTTTAGAAAAATCTAAAGTGGTTTTTTTATTAATGCTTTCTTGTTGATGTGGCAAAAGGAGAGAGTAGTTTTTAAAATCTGATGTGGATGACTTTAGGAGCCTCAAACTCTTCTTTCATTTAGTATAGATAGATTCTATGTGTTTCTAATTGATGTATTTTGTAGTTTTCACATGTATTAACAACTCAAATTAAAACTTCAATATAAATGTATCAATTTGTGATTAACAATTTGATACAACTTAAAAAATCAATAATAAACTTTATACATATCAAGTGATATGATGAAACTATAAATTTTAATTTATTAAATGAACAAGCAAAGAGAACCAATTGATTTGATCAAACATAGATTTTATTTTACGCAAGTAGTTCTCTTACATTATTGAATATATACATAAACAAGCTTAACCGGATAATTTTACCATGACAACAATATATAATCGTCGTTAAATCCAACAGTTATGGAGAGGATAAATTGATGACTTTCATATCTTGATTATTTGTCTTCAGGCTCTGAGTCATCTTCCATTTTCACTGACTTTGACACAAATGTAACTGGTTTTTTTGGGTGCTCATTTACTGTTAAGTTAAAAACTTCAGGCTTCGAGTAATGTCCCACCACATCGAAGTATAACTTGGCTCTTGCGACATCACCCAGATCTGGATGCGAATTTTGTTTTATTGACTTGATTAAGTAAACATATTATCATTTTCTCAACTAAAACCTAAGTTGAATATCAAAGAAAAGTATACGTACCAAGATCAGCTGTGATGAGACCCTCTGATTCAAAGTTTGGTCCAGCGAGAACCTTTCCCAGTGGTGAAATGATGACACTACCGCCTTGGGAAACAATAGAATCAGGTTCTTGGTCATCGTACCAGTCAGTAAACAAGTAATCAGGATGTTCAGGGAAATCTTTACGCCGGCAAAACTGGCAGGCCGACAACACGAAACAACCACCCTCGAGCGCAATGTGAAGCATAGAAGATTGTCATTCTTTCGAACCATCAGCAGTAGGTGCACAATAAATCTCAACTCCTAGTACAGCCCAAAATCAAAACTGTTAGGAGCGTTACAATATATATAGGATAAATAAGCCAGTTCCACTCTTTGGAAAATTTATTCTAGAAAATGGAAATTATTGAATATAATGAAACGGTATCAAAGCCTATATTCTTTGGAATAAGATATGTTGACGATTCTAAGAAAGGATTCAAATTTTAGATGGATAAGAAAAGTCATATGTCATCTAGAAAAAAAAGTTATAAATTAAACTAATTTTGAGCTAGAATATTTTTTAATATTCTCTCAATCATGACTAACCTTTTGCATACAAAGCAGTTCTATAAAGAGGCATCCTATTTTCCCAGCAAATAGCAGCACCGAGTTTGCCTAAGGGAGTGTCATAAACAGGGATGGTTGACCCATCCCCGTAACCCCAAATGCATCGTTCGGTAGTTGTTGGCATGACTTTACGGTGCTTCCCCAAGAACCGACCTTCCGAACTGAAGAAAAGGGCTGTGCAGTAGAGTGTATATCCATCCTTCTCTATAGCCCCTATCACCAAGTACACATTGTATTTTCTAGCAATCTCTGCCAGCTTTTCAACTTCAGGGCCTGTACAAAGTCAGATAAAGGTGCAAGAAAGAGTCACTTTGCTTTTTTTTTGCAAATGAAAGTTAATATTTGGATTCAAAATTACAGATATCTAGTTCCATTCCAATCTAAAACTTTCATAAACAAATAACACATAAAACAAACCAGTTTTTCCTCAAAGTTAAGTTTAGTAGATAAAAATTAGTTGTTAGTGTATATATACTTAACACAAGCTGATAGATACTAAGCAATACTAATTGATCAATTAATAAAAACGTAAACTAGAGATGCTCACTAGAAAACAAAATATGCACTAGGAAAAAGATGAAACTATTTTTCGTGCAAAATATATAAGATCACAGTTTCTCATTATTAATCAAATATAACAGGGGAGGTTGGATTTAAACTTAATTAAATTTAAAGTTAAATGTAGAGAAAATCATTTTATGGATAATGTTACACATGCATGATATGTTGTGAAGAAAACAGAGTCGAAGGAGGAAAGAAAGAGCATGCGAAGATTAAAGTTTCTTTACCAGGAACATGAATGGCAGAAGCATGATACTTTCTGAACTCATCACGACCATCTTCGTTAAAAACACCAACCCCCATACCGAACCTAAAGCCACGAGGATAGCCACCGATAAATGCCTCCGGGAACACCACCAGCTCTGAGCCACCGCTCGCCGCCTCAGCAATCAGCTTCTCTGCCTTTTCTGCAAAGTCAAGTAAACCATTTGATTAAATTTTGACTTCTTTACCAAAGAGTTTCATTGGTTCAAAAAATGTTATAGGAAAAAAAAATGAAATACCAATAGTTTTCGGAGTATCGTTATAGACGGTGGAGGCTTGGATGATGGAAGCTCGAATGATGGAGGATTGGGAAACACCGTTAACCGGAGTAGTGTTCTTGAGTGTTGACATGTCTACTTCTTTGTTTACGTTTATGACACAAAGATAGACAGAGAGAATCAAGACTTATATAGATTTTTTTCTTATCTTCTACCACTAAGGAGTTATCTGTGATTACCAAATATAGAAGATTCTCTGCCTTAATATGGAGAGCCGTTCTTAGAATTGTTGACCAATAAAATATACAACTGTTATCATAATATCTTTCTTTAATATTTGATAGGGAGAGTGACAGAGATTTCAGATTTGTATAGACCTTTTTGTTATTCTTTAGCAACAATTACATTATAACCAAGTGATTATCTGCCAGATTTGCACCTAGGATTTTGTGATTAATATGTAATAACTGATAAAAAAACAGTATAGAGATCTACACATTATATGAGATTCATGCTTAGAATTCAAAGGTCATAGGAAATAAATTAGATATACCAGAAAAAAATACAACAAAAGGTTATAAATTATTATTTTTGGTTAATGTACAGGTTTTAATCTCTTATTTTTTTGGTTAATGTATTCCAAAACTGTATGTTACAAAAAGATAGAATATGTTGGGCTCGGTTTTACCATGGTCAATGACAACATGCCATGTGGGTATTGAACCACCTTAAACATTAACATAGCCCGCTAGCTTAGCCAACAACTCTTCAGCATACTATTTCTGGGCAGTTGATGAATTTTTCGAATCACGCATGTGCCATTGATATATGTAGGTTTTAGGTATTCTTAGCTTTTGTTTTGGTTGTTTTTCATCATGTTTCATATCTTTTAAAAGTAATTTCAGTACATTTGAGTCTTGTTTGCATCATTTAGTGTCATGTTCGAGTGCCATGCCATTTTGTTGCATTTGCATTTTGTTTTATATGCCTTTAGGGTATTATGGAGCTCTTTGGGACTTGAGGAGATGGTGCAGCAGTGTAGAAAAAAGTGGAGGTAGAAAATTCATGAAGAAGCAAGGGGATGGCTCTCGCACAAACTCGCCGGTTTAGAGCACCCACGGGCCTACACAACTGCTCCCATGGAGGCTCATTCTCGCAGAAACCCGCCTGTCTGTGAACCCGCCTGGCTGCCAATATGCTTCAGGATGGCTGACTTCTCGCACAAACCTACACAATTTCTCTCAGGGTGGCGCATTCTCGCAGAAACCCGCATGGCTTTGAACCCGCCAGGCTACCCATATGCTCCAGATAGACCACTTTTTGGTTTAAGCTGGATCTGACCCGATTTGTCCTGGGTCGACCCGGTTTACTTTTATGGCTTATAAATACAATTTTAGACAAGGAAAAAACCCTACACTATCTTATGTTTTAGTTTTTATTGCCTCCTTTGTTCTAAACACTTGTTCTTATGATTTGTGTTGGATCTATTACATTTACTTCTAATCTAGTGCAGTTTCTTAATTTTTTCTAAATCTCTGTTAATTATGTCTTCTATCATGTTTATTTTTGCTTTCACTATGATTTGTGAGTAGTCCCTTAATTGGATTGTGGGCTTGGTAGATTAGGGGTGTTTGATGGATGATTAATGATGCTTAGAATTAGATTCTTGTGATTTCCTATGTTTAGAGAGTGTGCTTAATGCTAAACATAGACCTGAAACAGTCATATTTTAGAACTTGGATATTTTGCGCTTGGAAGGTGTTTGATGAAATGTCAAGACAAACTTTAAGCATGTTTTTCATACTTAGCCAATTGACACTTGATGATTAAGGTGAATTATTGACTTAGTGGATATTTTCTTAATGATTATTGACCTCTTAGTTGCAATCGGAAAGTTAGCCTAATTAAGTGATTTGATAAGTGGCTTAGTATCAATGAAATGAACTAATCTATTTTGTGGGATCCATGTCTTGGAATTTATCTTGACTGAATGTTCTAGCATCAGTAGTTATTTGTTAATCATCCCTTATAAATTATCTTTGCCCATGATCCATATTTTCTCTTATTGAATCCGTCTTGTTTATTTTCATTTTAAGTTGACTTTGTTCCTGTATGGTATTTATGTTTGTTTAAGATCTTTAGTTTAGCTCTCTCTCGTTTAGTTTGCTTATCATTGCACTTATCTTTAGTCTCTTTTATTTAAGTTGTTTAGTCAGGTTCAAAAAATCCCCAAAACAATCTAAGCTTATCTGAGAATTGCTTGGATTCTTAGTGTGCTGTTCTAATGTTCATGTGGATTTGATCCTAAAGTGCTACGTTGACATACCATACAATTGTGGTAGTGTGCACATTAGGTTTTAATTGGTGTGCATAACAAACATGACATCAATTTGGCACCGTTGTCATTAGGATTTGGTATCTTTTTAAGTCTAAGTTTTATTTTTCTTTTGTTACTAAACTGTTTTCTACTCGCGTTTGCTCTTGATCCAAGTGCATGAACCTGAGAAGTAAGGAATCAACAAACCTGCAACCTCTTGTTATTGACCTTGGACGTTTAGAAAGGGAAACCGCTAGAGAAGCAAGAAGAGAATCACCCAAACTTTTCCTATAGAAATCCCAATGTTGAGAATCCACAAGACCAAGTCTATCCTCAACAAAAGCCACAAGTACAAGGGTTCCAACCTCAACAGAGCTTCATGACAAGGCCAAAATTCCAAGAGCAATGAAACTTTCAACAACAAGGCTTTCAACCGCAACTAAACTTTCGACAACAAGGTTTTCAACCTCAAGGTCAATTCATCAACAAACAACAACCATTTCAACAACAAGGGAGCTACCAAGGACAAGGAAGTTCTCTTTCCCAGCCATCTACGGAAGATCAAACACTGCTTTTACTTAAGCAATTGGTAGAGGGGCAAGAAAAAAGGGCTGTTGATTTGGATAAAAGAATGTTGGGGATACACAACAAGGTAGATGGAGCGTATAATGATCTAAATTCTAAGCTGGATCACCTATCTACACACATGAAGGACTTGGACAATCAAGTAGCTTAAGTTGCTTCTTCTTACCGGAAAATCTGAAGCGAATCCGAAAGAGTTCTGCTAAGCTATCACTTTTGAGAAGTGGTAAAAAGCTCCAATCTAGAGAGGCAAAATCTGATGATGTGGTGAATGACGAAGAAAGAGATTTTATAGCTGAAAATCCACATGAAAAATTGAGTGAACTTAATGAGCCTATACTAGTTGATAATGAGATAACACCAAAAGATAGCTCTACGGAGACTATCAAAGAGAAAGTTCCATTTGTGCCTCCCCCTTATGAACCAAAGCTGTCATTTCCTGGACGTTTCAAGAAAAAAATTCTAGACAGGGAGTTTGAGAAGTTCAAAAATTTGCTTGGGACAGTTCACGTGATTGTTCCTTTCACAGATTTGCTAGCTAATTGCCCCATTTACAATAAGCTCTTCAAGGATGTGGTGACAAAGAGAAGACTCTTACAAGAAAGCATGGTGATGGTGAGTCATGAGTGCAATGCTGTAATTCAAAATTCTTTGCCAAAGAAACTTCAAGATCCGGGTAGCTTCACATTTCCTTGTTCTCTCGGCCCTATGTTTTTTCTAAGAGGTCTAGTTGATCTTGGTTCGAGTGTGAGTTGGGTGCCTTTGTCGATATTCAAGAAGCTTGGGCTCACAAATTTCAAGAAGACAAGGATGTCATTGGTGCTTGCGGACAGGTCTATTTGGTTTCCGGTGGGAGTTCATGAAGATTTACCATTGAAAGTTGGTAATTGCCTCATTTGCACAGATTTTGTTGTGCTTGAGATGGATTAGGAATCTGCTGATCCTATCATTCTCGATAGACCATTTTTGGCGACTTCTGGTGTTATTATTGATGTGAGAAGAGGAAAGATGGACTTACATTTTGGAGAGTTTGTCCTTAAGTTTGACATCAACGAGATCATGAAGAAACCGACCATTGAAGGGAAATATATCATTCTACATTGATTCTCGAGATGACTCAGTTGATGATTATATGGGACTGATCAACATGGAAGATCCTTTGGAGATAGCTCTCACCAAGGAAAATGATGAGCTTGACTACATGAATGAGGATGCTGTTGGATATGAGAAGATTCTCAAATATCAACCACCATCAAGAGGCGATGCTTGACTCATGAAAATGGGTAATGAAGAGGATAAGACGGGCAATGAGAAAGAAGCTAGCAATGGTAAGACTAGCAAAGATGATGATTGGAGTGAGTTAAATGCGCTACAAGTGGACCTCAAACCATTGCCATAAGAGCTAAGGTATACCTTTCTTGGTCTTAATTCTACTTACCCTGTTATAATCAATGATAAGCTTAACGACAATAAAACCCTAATGCTGTTAAATGAGTTGAGACAGTTCAGACAGGCAATAGGATATTCACTATATGATATCAAAGGCATCTCTCAATCTCTTTGCATGCATAGGATCCACTTAGAAGATGAGACTAAATCCTCCATTGAACATCAAAGGCGGTTAAACCCAAATTTGAAAGATGTGGTTAGGAAAGAGATTATAAAACTTCTAGTTGCGGGGATTATTTATCCTATCTCAGATAGTACTTGGATATCCCCGGTCCATGTGGTTCCTAAGAAAGGTGGAGTCACAGTGATTAAAAATGAAAAGGATGATTTGATTCCAATGAGGACTATAACCAGACATAGGATGTGCATAGATTATCGAAAATTGAACTCATCTACTATAAAAGATCATTTTTCCTTGCCATTCATTAACCAAATGTTAGAAATACTTGAAAATTATTCATTTTATTGCTTCCTTGATGGTTATTCTGGATTTTTCCAAATTCCAATTCACCTAAGTGATCAAGAAATGACGACATTCACTTGTCCTTATGGTACATTTGCATATCAAAGGATGTCATTTGGACTATGTAATGCACCAGCAAACTTTCAAAGGTTTATGATGTTGATCTTTTCAGATTTAACTGAGAATATAATGGAAGTTTTTATGGATGATTTTTCTGTGTATGGTGGTTCGTTTGCCTCTTGTCTTTCTAATTTGTGCAGGGTTTTACAAAGATGTGAAGATACCAATCTTGTCCTTAATTGGGAGAAATGCCATTTCATGGTTAGGGATGGTATTGTGCTTGGGCATAGGATCTCAGAGAAGGGTATTGAGGTTGACAGAGCTAAGATTGAGGTGATGGTGAATCTGGAACCTCCTACATCGGTTAAGGGTATTCAAAGCTTCTTGGGTCATGCCGGATTCTATATACGGTTCATCAAAGAC